CCCCAAAACCCCAAAACCCCTTTAAGCTAGTATAAAATAAATTGTGAGTGAAAAGATATACTTATATTTAATAATATGAGATCATATCTTCTTATTTTACTAATATCATTAAATATTCTTGGTTCCTCTTTATCGAGAAACCTATAAAGTGATCAATCAAAGAAAAGAATATTAGTCGCTGGACAGTATATCACAAGTCTTCCAGGAACATGGTATCAGATATCAAGAGAATTGAAAAAAAACGAAAACTATGAAGTTTACCAAATTCTACCTGCAGATTCACCTTATGTAGAAAGAATAAAGGCTAATGGAGTGATTCCTATACTAAGCAAGAATTTTTCCTAATAATATTTTGACGAGTACAATGAATAAATGAAAGAAAATAAACTCAAAACTTCTGCACTTGTTGAATACATGCAATATTTGACTAAGGCATTTTTCAGTGAGGATGAACTGATAAAAGAGATTAAGTCTTTAAATTTTGACTTAATAGTCTGTGGATTGTTTTTTGAGTAGTAGCTCATAGTGAATACACTTTAAATTCCACTATATATAAGAATATTAAGTGGAAATCTAGACAATTCTTGGTAGGTTATGATGAATCAACACACATCACATTCATCGCAGCTGCATACTTTAAGAACTGTTATATTTGGAATGGAAAATTACTCTAATCTTCTCTCTTTTACTACAAATTTTTTCACTAGACTGAGAAATAGACTGTCCGAGCATATCGTTTGCGGACTCGGATCCTATATGATTCATAATAAACTTTATAATGAGATACCAGAGCATTTAAGATAAGATGCTATGACCTTAAGGGCACCAGATTTGATTCTTTACACAGGATATGAGGGTCTTTCATAAGCAATTCCGCTGTCTCCAAACTCAAGAATAATCCCTCCACTGTTTGAAAATGAAACTTAAACTTAGCAAATTGCTTAAGATCTCTAAGAATTCATAGATAGACATTAAAAGCTGATTCTAGTCTCATTTGGTACAGTCCAGAGCCCAAAAAGTGATACTCTAAGAGCACTTTCAAAGTACATGTAATAATAATCTGACTATGGATTTATTTATTCAGCAACAAATTAGAAATACCTTGAAAAAGATATATTAGAGAGAGTTTTAAGCTTAGAAAATGTTTACATATCAAACTGGATTCCATAAATATAGTTACTAAATAATCCAAAAGTTAAAATATTCTTTAGCCATGGTGGTATGTCTAGCTACATAGAGTCAATTGAAGCACAAAAACCTTTAATAATAATTCCAGCATTATCTGTTGATCAGTTTTATACATGTGAATATGTATAGGCTTAGAAGCTCGGCGCATGCCTGTATAAGCCTGATGAAGATCACTTTGATGAGTAAGTTAAATATATTGAAGAAAACAATGGCTTCAGTGACAGACTTAAGATTCTTAAGAAAATGATTGATAAAAAGAAGTAGCAAGGATTAGGATTGCTTTATTGGGTTGACTATTTGATGGAAATTGGAACGAGTGAGTTCATTTCAGCAAAGCAATATTAATCGTTCAATTATCTTCAACTTTATGATGTGGATGTGAACATCGCTATCGATCTTATACTAATTGCAATGATAGCAA